CTCCAGGGATGTACTGTAAGACCATGTAAATATCTTCCTCACCAAACTTCTCCCCAGACTTAGCAAATACTGCACATTCTGGCCTGGCTCGGCCCTTATGATGACACTTGCCAAAGGATGTCTTTCCAGTCCAGCACTCCTTCCTCATTTACCAGTCAACGCCCCCCCATTTATTCTTTTATTTATTTTATTTTTCTATATTTTCTTAGCAAATCCCTCATTTATTTTTATATATCCACTTACATCCACTGTGGACTGATGGGTTCCCATTTTTTTCAACAGTCTATAATTCATCATTGTCCTTTTGGGGGTGGGGGAAGAGTTCCTTAAATAGTTCCAGATTTGGCCAGTGGGGAGCCCCTTCAGGTCGCCCTGTGTCCTAGCATTTCTCTGATGCACTTCCGCAGGTCTGTCACCAGACATTCCGGGCTCATCTGGCGCCCTCTGTGTCCAAGCCCTGGAGTCAGTGTTCCTTTGAGGAGCCCAAGTCCCCTGCACTAGGTGAGCTCATTCCCACCGGAGTGTCTGCTTCTTGCCCTAGCGGTTGACAGAACTTGTCATACCACCTTTTTAAAAGACAATTTTTTTAAACAAAAGTAAGTGGTGCTTTAAAAAATGTAAACAGCGTAGACATCTGTAAAGAACAAAGTACCCACAAGGAAGCAAGTTTAGCAGTGGTGTGTGTCTTCCCAGACTCTCCTCTCTACACGTACAGAAGCAGACTTGGTGGAAGTTTTGGTTTTGCTTTTTGCTATTGTGAATTTTAATCTACAAGGTCCTACTTTTCTTTTCATGACATAGTATGGTACTCTTCATGTCAGACTGTGGGATTTGTCATTGCTTTTTGTTAGCTTAGTGGATATATTAACACCATGATTAACCAATGTATAGTGGATAGAGTTTCAGGCTGCCTCTAGCCCAACTCTAGTGAACACCTCTATACACATCCTGGCAGTTATTTAAGAATTTTTTTTAATTAAAAAAATTTTAGACCATGCGTGTGGCTCATGCCTGTAATCCTAGCACTCAGGGAGGCCGAGTGCTAGGTCAGGAGTTCGAGACGAGCCTGAGCAAGAGTGAGACCCCGTCTCTACTGAAAATAGAAAGAAATTAGCTGGACAGATAAAAATATATAGAAAAAAATTAGCCGGGCATGGTGGCGCATGCCTGTAGTCCCAGCTCCTCGTGAGGCCGAGGCAGGAGGATCGCTTGAGCCCAGGAGTTTGAGGTTGCCGTGAGCTAGGCTGACGCCACAGCACTCTAGTCCAAGCAATGGAGCAAGACTCTGTCTCAAAAAAAAAAAAAAGTATTGAGTTGAAATTCACATGGCATAACATTTTCCACTTTGCAGTAAACAAGTGGCATTTAGTGTATTCACAATGTTGTGCAACCACCACCTCTATTGAATTTCCAAAGCATTTTCTGTGTCATGCATTTTTGCATGTACTCAAGGATGGATTCTTGGTAGTGGATTTGCTCTGGATCAAAAGTCACATCTAAAAATTGTTATGGATACATCCAATTGGTCTCCAAAAAGCTTCTATCAATTTATATAGCCACTAGCAGTGTATGACAATGTGCATTTCCCTACATCCTTGTTTACACTTTGGGTGTGATCAGCCTTTATCTTTTCTTCTAATCCAAAAGATGGAAATATGCATTCATTCATTCATTCATTTATTTTTGAGACAGGGTCTCACTTTGGCACCCAGGCTGGAGTGCAGTGGCCTCTGATCATAGCTCACACTCCTGGGCTCAAGTGATCTCCTGCTTCAGCCTCCTGAGTAGCTGGACTACAGGTGTGTACCACCACACCCGGTTAATTTTTTATTATATTTTTTTTGTAGAGACAAGGTCTTGCTATTGCCCAGGCTGGTCACGAATGTATGTATTCGATTGTTAGCTAGGCCCAGGATGTGTTTTTGAGGTGTTTCAGCCTCTTCTGAATTTTCTGCCCAGTTTGATTGGTTTGGGGGTTTTTTTCTTCCAGATCTTAACAGAGTTTACTTAGGAAATTTTTCTGTTAAACTTAATTCCTGCAGCTAATGTGAATGGAGTAATTTTCCTGATACATTTCCTAATTGGTTATTGTTGGTGTATAGCAGCACGTATTTTTTGGATGGGTTGATTTCATATCCAGCATCCTTGCAGTTCTTGAAAATAATGTGTGTGTTCTATGTGGCTTTTTATTGCGGTGTCTCTGAGATCTCCTGAGGGTCTTGTACAGTGACCTTGCAGAAACCCCCCAAGTCTGTCTACTGCATACCTGTCTGGACAGTGCTGGGCGTGTTGCTGGCTGTTGGGAAGTTGACTCATACACAGATCCTGCTCTCCTGAGTTTATCCAATGAAGACAGTAAGACAGGGAAATTATAGGGTAGAAAGAAAGTTAGTTATCTTTGCATCTTCTAGCATCTGGCAAATAGTGGACACTAACGGTCTGAAATAAGTCACTATGGTGCCATAAAAATGTGGTTTTCAAACTTTTTAAAATTTTTAGCTGGAGAACCCATTAGCCAGGTCGTCCTCAAGTCTGAACACGTTAGAATCACCAGGAAGAGGTTTGAAATATTTATGCAAAAGCTCAGCTTGCAGAGATTCAGTTTCTGTTTGTCTAATGTAGGACAAACAGCATTTTTAAAAGCTAATTCCCTTGAGCAGCCAGGGTTGAGAACCACTGCTAGTCTAACACGTAAACTCTGTGAGTAGAGCTTGAAATGGAGCACCCCACCCGTCTCCTCCTTTTGGGCGCTAGGGGGGCTCTGCTGAGCACAGTTCGAAAGTGGTCCTGATAATCCCGTGAGGATGCTGAGGACATGGAGCCTACTTGCTGGGGATGACCTTGCTCTGGGCTGTGCTGCTGGTTCCCGTGCCGGGTGGGGAAATAGGCAGCCATCAGGCTCAGCCGAACTGAGCCCAAGCGCTAACTCTTATGCTGAGCTCACTTGGCCTAGGAATGGCTGTGGGGCAGTGGTCAGAATTAGGTGTTGGCACTGCTGGTGTGTGTGTCCAGTTTGGCCAAATGGTGAATTGCTGCTCCTCCTCACCATTGGAAGGACTCAATGACAACCCCAGCTGTCCCAGAGGCATGGGGATGGGGGGTGATTATGCTAAGCTCAAAGCTGCTGTTGACGATGGCCAGGATTAGGAGGTTGTGGCCTTTTTGTTAAGAGTAGTATCCCTTGCTTTTAATTAGCAGTTAGCTGTTATCTTATTTGAACCTTATGGAGACAGCAACTTGTATGGGGCATATTGCACCCATCTTACTGATGGTGAAACTGAGGCCTAGAGAAATTGTGACTTGCCTAAGACCACGCAGGGAAGTGTGAGCCTGGGTTTGGACCCTGATGTTCTGATTCAGAAGCTGTGCTTTCCCTCCTGCTCTGCGGTCTGGGCCCTTGTCAGGAAGAGGCTGCAGTTATTTATACACCCAGTCACACACGCCAGCTCTCTCTTTATCTGGCACCATCTCTGCTGGGAAGGCCGTCCTTCCACGCAGTAGCTCCCGGCAGCCGAGGCTGTGACCTGGTGCCTGGGGAAATGGAAAAGGCTGCAGAGGCAATGACTCTGACTTAGATTCATTTGTGGGTCCCCCCCCCCCCCTATAAATTGTGACCCAAGAGTTGCTTTCAGTGCTATTCTCTGGCCGCCTGAATGACTGGAGAACAGGCTTTGTTATCTAACACTCGCTACCCATCACCTTCCAGTACCCACAGACACTGCGGCACCTGTCAAAGATGATGACAAATATCTAGGCCAAAGGTTTGAAAAAAAATCTTTGCAGTGGAATGGATGCTCAATCAAGGTGACAGGGCATTTTCGCGGAATAAATAAAGCACTGGTACCTAACTTCACACTCTCGTCTTTCCTCTTCCCTGCCCACACAGGACCTGACCCGAGTGGCCGGCCCCTCGCCTGTCCCGCGCCGGCTGGGCCCTTGCTGGGGCTCTGTCCTTGCTGCTGCCCCTCCTCCATCTCTCGCTCCACCTGGGGGAGACCTGCCCGTCTTCCAGGCCCAGCGCTGAGATCCTCCCCGTCTCCCCTTCTCACTCCCCCACACTCGCCTCACATCCCATAAGTTGCCAGGTCGCGTTCTACGCCCTGCATTCTTCCAGAATGGCTCTCCAGCCCAGTGGCCGCTTCCCAGACAAGCCACCACGTGTCCTGTGTTGGACAGCCTGCACTCAGTCTCCCGCCCCCCACACCCTGCTCATCGTCCGCTGTGTATCGGGGTTAGAAAGTGCCTGTCTCCTCTCCCGGGGTGCCGTGCTTGAGAGGGAGTGTCACGGGCAGCAGTGGCCTCCCCAGGCCCCAGCTGGGTGGGGAAGGCCGTGAGGCCCCCTTGCACCCACAAGCCTCTAAGCCTGTCCTCCCAGACACTCCACCATGGCCCCTCCAGCTCCAGCAGACCCATCGCTGCTTTTCTGCTCCAAACAGCTTGCTCACTCCCAGAATATTCCCTGGGTGTCTCCACCGCCTTACCCCTGCCCCACCCTCCCTTGCCCCTGCATCCTTCCGTTTGCCCAGGTATGACTGTGTCTCCCTGGTGTTCTGGGAGCTCCCAGTGACCAGGGCCGGGCCTCTTCTGTGTCCCCAGCAGACCGTGGGTTGGCCCGGGGCCCTCAGAGACTACAGCTGAAGCCTTGTCTGAGGGGGCATCTCTGCTCTCCAGGCTCCTGCCCTGTCTCCTTTGCCTCTTCTGAATTGAGCGCTTGGTTGCTAAGGCAGGAGAAAGAGAAAGGGACCCAGCAGACCAAGGAGAAAAGAACGCACCCTTTATTCCTAATGGGAGACTCCTTGGGGCGCAGCCGGCACCCATCCCATCCTAGGGTGGGGGAGGCTCGGTCTGGGCCCCAGCAAGGCCAGGGTGGGTGGGGACACTACTGACTCCACGGGCAGGGCAGGTGGGGGGAGCTGCTGCCCCTTCCTCAGAGCTTCTCCAGGTAGGAGCCAGGGACAAAGCCACGCTGCCCGTTCCGTTCCACTGTCCACCAACCATCCTCCCCTTCCAGGATGACCACCAGAACGTCCCCGGCAGAGATGTCCAGCTCGTCGGGATTCTGGGCAAGAGACGAAAAGCACATGGGGCTGGCGGGGCCTGCTGGGAGGGCCCTGGTCAGCTTGTCAGTAGGGTAGGCAGGGTCCGCTGAGTCACACCCATACCTCCTGGGAGACGTATAGGATACGGGTGCCCCAAGGGACTTGCCTTCTGTCCCCCTCAGTTTGTCATCGTAGGCTTCTCCCACCTGGGGTTCTTCCCCTGCCCCCTTCTCTGCTCCAGACGCAGTGACAGGCACGGCAGGGGCAGGGTTGCTCACCACACCCTGAGCCCAGGTCGCGCTCTCCACGGCTCACCACCCAGCCTCCCTCGCTGCCAGTCCCCAGCCCCAGCCAGCCAGTTCACTAGAGCACGCCAAGGACCCTGTCACTCGCCTGGCCTGGCTGCCCTGCCGGGGCATGGGGGTCTGCGTCCCCGAGCCAGCCAAGTGCGGGGCCCCACCTCAGCCCAGGTGGAGCTGGGGTCCAGCCGTGCACCTCCCCTCAAAGCAGGGAGCAGACTGGACTCTAGGGGTCTCGGGACCCCTACCCTGTGGCTGCCCCGGCCCATCCTCTCCCTGTGGACACCAGAAAATCAGTGCTGGCCCAAGGGGAGGACTCACTCGTGGCTGCAGTTGGTCTCTGTACCCACACGGCCTGACCCCCACGCCATTACCTGCAGGCAGCCCCGGGCGCCGGCACCTGCCTGCATGTGTGTGCCTGTGCCCACGGCACACGGGGCCGGCTGCGGGGCAGCGCAGGCACGTGCATGCCACGCGTGTCCCGCACGCAGACGCAGGCCCTGGTCCCCATCACCAGCTGTTGAGCAGGCGCGCTGGGGCCGCCTAAGCACCGAGGGCTGCGCCCGCGCTCGTGCCCCAGCGCAGCTGCCTGCGAGCGTCCGTTCTCGCCCGCACACGCACCCTCCCGCGCAGCAGAGGGCCGGGGCCTCACCTGCGCTGTGTAGTCATAGAGCGCGCGGTAGTCCTGGGCTGGCGCAACCAGGTCGCCCTGTGTCTCCCGCACGGCCACAGCTGCGTAGACACCCTCATTCCGCTCGAGGCAGGAGGTCAGGGTCTCTGTGGAGGCTGAGAGCAGGGTGAGGCCTGTACCCCTCCCCTGTCTAAGGACATTGGCCCCTGGAGGTCCTGCGGGGTGGAGTTAGTTTCTCCTGCTTGGCCCTGCCTCCCCCTCCCTCTCGCCCGCTTGCTGTTGGAGAGCACGCCCTTCCCCTTGAGGGGCCTCTGTGGCCCCATTTGTGCCACACGGGAGTCTTCTCCTTCCCCCCGGGGTCACAGTGTGTTTGGGGGCCCCCACATCACCCCCAGGTACCAGCAGGAGTTGCCAACGAGGCCTTGGGACTTCCATGCAGCAGCCCGGAGAACCTGGGGCCAAGGAAGGAGGGTGAGTCCCTCACGTGACCCTCCGGCCCCGCGGGGAGAGAGGGCTTAGGCAGCGAGAACTCTCAGAGCGCCAGGGCTGGGGATGCGATTTATGGGGTGCCCCTCAGGCAGGAGGGCTCTCAGAGGGTCTTCCCAGTGGCTCTTCCTTCTGCAGCCGGGCCCTCCCACTCACACCCGGGCCCATCTCAGCCCCTGCTCCCTGCAGGGCCCTTGGCGGGTGCTAAGACCTCCATGCCGCAGGCTCCTGGAAATGCCCAGCTCCTCCCCGCCCCACCTCTACTCCAGCCGGTCCTACAGCTGCCCCACATGCCCCCCTGGGGCCTTCACCAGCAGGGGCCCAGCCAGCCCTCCTTCCCACGGCCCTCAGTGACAGCCGGCTGTGCCACCGGCCGCACAGTGAGCTCCAGGAGGCCGGGCTGGGCTAATGTGCCCCGGGCCTGTCTCTGGCCTACACTGAGCTGGGGTCTTGAAGGTTTGCTGAATTAAAGAGGAAAACAAAACAAGCATAAGGCCGACGCTGGGCACCCCACAAGGCAGACAGGCATGCGGGCTGAGTAGAGGCAGGCGTAAGTGCTTAAGTGACCACCTATGCTGGGATCCGGGTCCTCACCGGGGTGCGGGGAGGGCTGAGTCCTGCAAGTTTTTGTAGCATTGTTTGGGTGTGGATGTGCCTCCTCCTGGGGCCACTGCTTTCGTAAGATTCTCAGAGGGGTGTGTGCACCCCTCTCTGAGTGCGGGCGGTTCCGCAAGCCTCAGCCTCCCGAGAGCGGGAGACTCCAGGGCCTCCTGAGGCCTTGGAATGGGCTGGTCCTTGCAGCCCGGTCGGCACCCTCCCCACTGTCCCCTGCCTCCCAAGGTAGGGCCTTCTTTGTTGAAGGCTGGCTGGAGATAGGAGCAGCGGGGGTGGGGGTGGGGCACAGGCACCACATGGACCCACAGACAGGGCATAGGCCTGCTCAGAGCCCTTGCTACGGGGGCTCCCTGAGCAGGGTATAGCGCCCCCAGTGGGCTGCCAGCGTCATCACCCACGGCCTCAACCAGGAGGGTGTTTAGGTTCTGAGTCAGACCCCAACACTCAGGGGCCCTGGCCCTAGAGAGTGCGAGTGACCTGCCCAGGCCACACACTGGGGCACTGCGCTAGGTAGGACCTTGGCACTTGACTGCAGCCAGGCCAGGGAATGGGCCCTGGAGAAGCCCGAAGAAGTCCCCACACGCACTGGCTGGGGCTCCTGCTCCTCTGCGCCGGGTGCCGCGCCAGCGGGGGCATTGCCACTGCAGCGGGACAGTCCGCGGCAGCAGCCCAGGCTAGCAGCGGGGCCTAAGGTACAAGGAAGCGGCATGGGACCCCCCCCAGAGTTCGGAGCAGTCACTGGTGAATAACTGGGGTGTGGTTATTTGTTTAATGCTGGGGTCCCCTTGGGCTCAAGGTTCCTGGAGACTGGACTGAGCCTATCTTGTCTCCTTAGAGTGCCCAGCACCTGAACAGGCCACCAGGCACAGCAGGTGCTCCACAGATGCCACTTCCTGGCCCGTCCCAGCGCCTGCTTCCTGGCCAGCCATCATGCACGGGGTGTCTCACCTCTTCATCATGCCACAGGACGGTGGCACGCCAGGGCTGCCGGATGACGGGGTGACCTCCCGGTCGTAGTAGTTCTGGAAGGGCACCGGCGCTGTGGACAGCAAGCCTGTGAGGCCCAGGGCAGCCTAGGGCAGGGCAGGCAGGACCTGTGCCCCCAACACCCAGCCAGTCCCTCCCCAGAGACCAGACAGGGGGTCCACTTTCCCACTCTGGCCCTGGCCCATCCCGGTGGTTGTGGCGGTGCCTGTCTCACTCCCCCAAGAGATCCCACTGTGGGTGCCAGAGCGAATGTTCTGCACTCACAATTTAGTGGGACCAAACAGACTGGGGGTGGGGGCTGTGGGAGGTTCCCCACCTCTAACCTCCCATCCTCTTCTGAGTGCATAGTGCACCTAGCTCTGCTGTGTTTTGCCTTGGGGGAGGCAGCAGTCCAGGGACCCAGGCAGGGGTCCTGTCCCTGACCCCTCCCTGGGTCTGGCCAAGACTCTTCCACCCAGAAGGCAGCTGTGAGCTGCCCGAGCCCTGTCCTGGCACTCGAGGCTCAGGGCCCTTCCAGGGCCAGCCAGGCCTGTACCCAGGCTACCCGCAGGCTGGGCCTCACCCGGGGGCTCGGTGCCCGTGCCCTTGGCCTGGATGAAGCTGTCAATGTCGGCGTCCACCCGGCAGCCCTCCAGCGTCAGCCGCACTTCCTCATAGAGCTGGGGGCAGGAGGGAGCAGAGGCTGTGGGGCCAGGCCGCACCCCGATGCCCACCCCTGTCGAGGCCCTGCCCCTCTGGGTCTGAACTCCAGCCAGCAGTGGCCACCCCACCAGCCTCCTCTCGGGCTTTTTGTGCACATCTCAGCACCTGTAATTTGGGACCTGGGGTGTAACCGCCCCAGGCCGGCTGAGGGGTCAGAGCCCTGGCTGACAGCTTCCTGTTTCCTGAACACCTTTTGTCCCTTCTGTGCTCAAGGTCCCATGCAAGAGACTTAACTCACACCTGTCCTCCAGGTAGACACCATTTTCCCCATTTTATAAATGAGGAAGCTCAGGAGAAAGCAACTTGCCCAAGGTCACAGAAAAAGAGCGCAGCGCAATGGGCTTTGGATCCAGAGCCCACACTCTCCTCTGCCACGAGGAGGCCAGCAGTTGGGCTCAAGTCATTCGGACAAAAACAAACTAACGACGACAACAAAAATGAAATGCCCACAGGCCACGGGGCAGGAGGAGTCAGGGCCTCCCCGAGAGAGAGCTCCTGGCTCTGGGGCTGCACTAACAGCGGTCAGGGCCCCTGGTGGAAGGTGGCGGCCCCTCCCTGCCAGGCAGCTTGGGCTCAGTAGGGAAGAAACTAGGACACCTTGGAGAAGGCGAGAGCAGAGGAGGCCAAGCCTCCTGCCATCACCAGGCCTGGGGCAGAGCCAGCCAGGGTCCACTGGCCCCTCTGCAAACCTCTGAGGGGCTGTGTTTCCCTACCCTCCCTAGCCTGGCAGAGGGAGCTGGTGCTCTGTGGCTTTGGAGTGGGGGCGTGGGGACGTGCCAGGGTAACCACCAAAGCACAGTCTTCGGGCAGAGCAGCTGTGGCCCTGTGCAGTACTGACCTCCCTGTCCTGGGCTGCTGGGAGCAGAGGCTGAGCTGCTGAGGCCCTGAGAGCCCAAGGGCCAGGCTTGGACCACAGAGAACTAGGTGTTCGTTGACTGACTCAGATGGACCTGGGCATGCTGCCGCCCAGAGGCTGCTCTCTCCTCACCACCCCCACCAATGCCCTCAGTCCCACCTCGTCGTCCTTGACGCACTGCATGGACAGCTGGTTGCAGTGCACCCACAGCGCGTTGCGGAGAATGGTCAGCCGGTCAAACTCCTGCAGCTGGAAGGCCTGGGGGCGGGAGCGAGGTGAGAAGTGAGGAGGGGGCTGCAGAGCCAGGCCAGGCTGGACCCCACTCCCAGCTCAGGCTGACAGCCAAGTCTAAAGGAGAGACCTTCCTCTGGGTCCCCACCCACTTCTGTGCCCACCCTGAGGCTGCTGGGAGGGGCAGAGCAGCCCGGGCATTGCTGCTGCAGCGGCTCCAGGCTCCGGCACTCACTGGAAGAGCCGGGAGGCGGGGGGGAGCGAGAGGAGCGCAGGACCCAGAGTCCAGAGCCCTGTTCGTCAGCAGGGCCCAGAGAAGATGCAGGTTTTGGCTGAGCCTCAGTTTTGGTTTCGGCAAAAAGGGTTGAAGAAGGCCCAAAGCCAGGCAGGGAGCGCCCTGGGGCAGTACCCAGCCAGTGCCTGGCGAATGCGTGGACGAGCGGATGGAGGGTGAACGATACCCGCGCCCCACTGCCTCGTTTGTCCCGTGAAGCAGCCACAGCGGGGATGGGGGTCTCCTGTTCTGCACCTGGGGAAACTGACCTCCACGCCAGGTAACTCACCTCACAGGTGGTCCTGTGCTCCTGCTCCCACTCGCCCCGCACCTTCTCCAGCTGCTCGGTGCTTTGCCTGTACACCCGCTCTGCAAGCACAGTGGCCCCAGGGAGTGGCACGAGCCCCTCCACTGCTTTGCTCCTGAGGGGCCCCTCCCCCGGCAGCCCCACCTCCCAGGGGGACCTGCCCTGGCTGCTGGTGGGGCCTCATCTGAACGATCGTCAGGGCTGCCCACTCTGCACTGCTCTTTTCGGGTGACTCTTAGTTCCCCCTCTGTGCTTCGAGCGGCTGAAGGGCTGGAGTGGCGCCTCGTACTCGCAAGTTAAGCATCCAGGCCATTGCCATCTTTGCCCTCAGCTGGGAAGTGGGCTCAGAGAGGGTGGCTGTGCCCTGGAGGAGGGGCGGAGCCCAGCAGACTTGGATCATGGCCCCTGTCACCAGATCTCTGGGAGTCACCTGTCCCCGAGCCTAGGGAGCAGCTGGGTGGTGGGAGAGGCAGAGCAGAAGGGAGAGAGCTTCCCAGGGAAGCAGGAGGGTGAGCGCTCTGTCCTGGGAGGGATGCCGGCAGGCACAGGGGTGCTGGGGGATTCCAGCATCAGGTGAAGGACAGAGGCCCAGAGAAGACCGTGTGCGCGCATGTGTGCACATGTGTGCCTAAGCATGTGAGCATGTGTGTACGTGTGTGAGAGAGACAGCGTGGGTCTGTCTCCCGTGAATGTGGCCATGCGAGTCTGGGGCTCTGCGGCCAGATGGCCTGGGTCACACGCAGTCACCACCACTCACTGGCTGTGTAAAGTTGGGCAAGTACTTAACCTTCTTGTGCCTCAGTTTCCTCATCTGTTAAAAAGAGGATGATGGCAGCAGCCACGTGGTAGCATTGTTGTCAGGGTCAAACATGCAAAGTGCCAAGAGCAGTCTCAGCAAATGGGAGAACACAAATGTGTCTAATCGCACAAGTACAGGATGAGAGTGACATCTTGTGACTGTGTGTGGCCACATGGGGGTGTGTCCCAGGGTGAGGGAGTCCTGTGGTGGGGAGGACTGTCCAGGTCACCACCCTGGTCTGGGGAGGCAGCTGGGGCCCACGTACCTGCCTCCGTGGCCGCGTCCCTGCACTGCTTGGCTTTGTTCTGGCTCTGGGGAGACAGAGGGACAGCAGCCCTGAGCCCCGCCCCCGGCAGCCACAGCCCCCAGGGCGACTTTGGAGTGACTCTGTCACATCTTTCCCGGCCACCCAGTGGGACACTCAGTGACCGCTGTGAGCAAATTCCATCATTTACTAGCAACATCACCCCGCAAAGGACCACAGGCTGGTTCCCATAAACCCAGAAACCTCCAGCCCATGTAGGTACACATGAGAAGTAGACAGGAGGTCCCAGAGCGGGAGAAGTGGGGACCAGGGCCAGGCCTGGCCCCTGTGACCACTGCTGAACCCACCGGCTGGGACTTGGGCCCCTGACTGGCCCCCAACTCACCCTCAAGTCCCCACCCTCTCTGGGCCTCAGCTTTCCTGTCTACGTAGTGGGTGACATGTGTCTTGGGTCCTGGTAGCTCTGACACCCCCACTGTGGCCCAGAGGCCACAGCAGTCAAGAGCCTGGGCTCTGGGCCACCTGGGTTTGATCCTTTCTCTGCTGCTTCCTAGCTCTGAGACTTTGGGCAAGTCACTTACGTCTCTGGGCCTCAGTTTCTCCTCTGTGACATGGGCCTACCGAGCCCCTCTACAAGGCTGTGTGAGGTTAGCGTCTGCTCTCATGGCCCTGGGCCACGTGGGCCTGTCTGAGAACTGGGTCCCGGGCGGAGGCCGGAGATGGCAAAGGAGGTGAGGCTGCCCCATCTGTCCACGCCCTGACAGTCTAGGAAACCCGCCGCACAGAAGCCGAGGTCAGCGAGGGAGAGCAGCCGGCACATCTCAGCTGCGGACCCTGCCTGGGGGTGTCTACAGCACCCCTCTCCTGCCTCCCCTCCCCACCCCGGCCCTGGGTGACACCACATGGCCCCGTGATCCACACACCTTCTCCGTCTGCTTCTGGTGGCCACTGGCACTAACGCGCTCAAAGGCCTGCTCCGCGTCATCCGCGTCCCGGCACCTCTGCTCGTAAGTCTTCTTGCACTGGGGTGTGGAGGGTGTGACTCGGGGGCCGCACAGTCCTGCTCTGTGGTCCCCTGGAGTGAGGCCCCCCGAACCCAACCCCCCCTTTCCCCTTCCCGGGGCCGGGGGGGGGGCCAGGGCAACCCCCCCAGGGACAGGGGTCTGGGGTCCCGAGTGCTGGTGGCTGCTGGCAGCCTTGCTCCAGGCCCCTTCCTGCTGCGGCCACTGTGGTCCTGCCCTGGCCTTCTGGGGGTGCGGCCTTTGGCAACGCCACGCCCCTGCACGTGCCGCCCAGCGTCCCACAGACGCGGCTGGAGGGTGCCTGTGCTCCCTCTGCCCCGGAGTCCCCAGCCGACAGTGGGATCAGCCATGGGCCACTGCATGGGACTGTCCGTCTGTCCTTCAGTCAGGAGCCCCCCAAGGGCAGCACCCAGGCCCACCCACTTGGGCTGTGGAGCCCAGTGCAGGCCGGGCCGTGTGCTAGACAGAAGTCTGAGGCGAGCCTGTCGCGGATGCCCAAGCAGGGACCACACCGGATTCCCGCTGCGCCTCGCCTGAGGAGACACCCCCCGGCCCCTTGCTCACCTCCATGGCCTTCTTGTAGAGTGACAGCTTGCTCTTCTGGACACGGTCCATGACGGCCTCGTACTGCAGGGGACAGGAGGCTCTGAGCTGGGGGCCGCAGCCTCAGGACACTCCCCTAGGCCAAGAGGATGGGTGTCCCTGGGATGAGGCACAGCACCCCTCCCGGCCCAGGGGGTGGTGACGGGATGTCCTCCCTCTCCCGGAGCCTGTTCCTTCACAGTCACCCTCAGAGTGGAAGACTAAAGAGAAGCCCAGGGCGTGGGTATCCGCGTCGGGTCCTCGGGGCAGCTCCTGGCTGGGAATTCGCACCCACACATGCGCACACGCGGTCCTTCCTCCTTCATTCACAAGCCTCTGCACACATCACAGCTCTCGCGCACCGTGCGCACACCCTGGCACACGCGTGCAGAGCCCACGTGAACACGCTCAGAAGCGCACGCACGGGTTTCCTGTGCAGACCCCCCGTCGCTGTCACCGGCACACGCTGCAGCTGCTGCCCAGCTGACCACAGCCACATGTGGGTACAGTGGCCACCGCGCCCCACCTCCCAGGCTTCTTGTTCACACAGAGAGGCTGAAAGAGCCGCGACAGACTGGACCGCAAGGCAGGAGGAGAACTAGGAAAGCAGTGGCACTGGGCTAGAGCCAGCTTGTGCCTGGAGTCCCAGGGGGTCTGTGCCAGCTGGGAGCCTACAGAGGCCCAGGCACGCACCCAAACACGCACAGGCACACGGCCGGGCGAGGACACGTGCTCTCAGGCATGTACACACCTGTGCCCGTGCTCTGCTGTGCACACGTACGCAGGCCCAGACGGGCGCCCTGCACACTCGTCACAGCGCTTGCCTGCGGGGCCCTGGTCACAGGGGAAGGAGTTGTTCTGTCTAAAACAGCCTTTGCAGACGTCGCAGCCCCTCTGGCCACAGGAGAGCTCAGAATAGCGGGGCCAGGGCCTCGCCGCTGCAGCGGGCACTCTGTGGGCAGCCTCTGGCACAGACAGGTCACCCCTTTCAGCACCTCAAGGCTGGGCCAGCTGCTAGGGATGGCTTTTTGTCTGCTCAGGAACCCACATTTAGACTCTGGGAAGGCTAAGACCCCAGCTGGCCGCACGAGCACACAGGATGTGCAGCTGGCCACGTTTCTGCCACCAGAGCCACTGGGCAGAGCCGCAGCCCTGTGTGTGAAGGCTGAGGCGTGTCTGGCTCTGGGCTGTTCCCGAAGGTTGGGAGGTGGGCATAGGTGTCCCATCCTGCAAGAGGGAACCTGAGGCATAGAGCAGGGAAGTGGCTTGGCCAAGATGCCCAGGCCCAGCCTGGCCCCAGCCCCCAGGTGGAGCCTTCTTCCCCTCGGCAGCTCATCTTCAGTGCTTCGGACACCTTACGAAGCTCCTTCTCCCCAGCAAGAAGCATTTCTGTGTGCTGGCCTCTCCCACCCTATTCAGGGCACCGCCCTCATCACTGAGCCTCTGGGAGGCCGAGCCCCTGTCCCCACGGGGCCACGCCCACCCGCCAGGCCAGCCTGCATCTGCTGCCCTCCCAGGGTACTCAGCCAATCAGAGCCTCAGGCACTCTCCTCCCCAGCCCTGCAGCCAAGTACCCGTCAGCCTCTGCTTGCACACCCCCGTGACGGGGACCTTCCATGCAGTGACTGTCTAGGGACAGCCACGCCCTGCGCGCCACGGAGAGTCTGCCTGCTAAGCCGTGCCTGGCACTCCCGCGCCTGCGACGTGCCTGCCCCTCCGCCATGGGCCGTGCTGCAGTGACTGGCCCCAGTCTGCCTTTCTCCAGGACACACAGCCCTGGCCCTTGGGCTCGGGACCAGTTTCCAGCGACCCCTCCCAACTCACACAGCCTCCTCTGGACCCCCCAGCTTGCCACGGACCCTCTACAGTGTGTGGCAGTAGCACATCCAAAAGACCAGTGTCTTTCCTCTTCCCTGGCGTGAGGCAGCTCGAGGGAAGGACCCTCAGCGGGGCTGCCAGGCTGAGAGCTGATGCCTGGTGCCAGCAGCCAGGCCTCCGCCATACCCTCCCTTCCCTTCAGATCACCCTTGAGCCCCCAAGCTTGGGGTGCTGTACCCCCACCTCCTCCCACCGGCTCTGCCAAAGGGCCGGTCCCCCAGCCCCACAGTGACCGACACAGCCTGGGCCAGGGAGGGGGGAGCTGCGCTCTCACCCCAGCACCCGCCTCACCTTCTTCCTCTGCTCCTTCTGCCTCTCCCGGAACTCCTCCAGGCTGCGCAGCTCCTCCCGCAGGGTCAGGGCCAGCTGGATGTGTGAGCTGCCCACATTCTCCATTTCTGGGGACAGAGTGTGGACGTTGGTCCCCAACGTCACACCTGATGGTCCTTAGCCACCCACCACTCCCCCTGCCTGGACCAGCCCACACCCACGCTCTGCCCCCCAAACCCTCTGCCAGCCTCGCAGCTCCTGTGCAAAGCTGGGCCGAAGCCTGAGCTCACCCTCCGGCCGGATTCCACCCCGGGAGATCTCGTCACCCTGCAGCTCAGGGTGGGGGAACTTCAGGACTTACGTTGCTTCAAGGAGTCAAAGGACGCCCTCAGAGAGCTGCAAAACATGGCGGTCTGGGTCAGCAGGAGGGCACAGCATGAACCTGCAGTCCTGGCTGGCCCTGGGTACTTTTATTTTGGTGGGAAGACCATGGGTCATTCTAGACCCAAGGGACCCTCTAGCCAGACAGTGACCATCCACTGGGGCCCAAAGCAAGGATTTCTGGAAGGCAAAGCTCCCTTTTTGGAATTGCAAAGCAATCAAACCTCTCCACTGTGGCAGAAGAGGGAGGTATCGATGCCCTGCCTCCGCTCCTGGTCACATTCTCAGAGAAGAGGGCACCGTCTTCGGGGCCCCTCTCCTCCTTCCCAGGTACCCAGCACCCCGGGATGAGTCTGAAGCAGCAGGGGGCAGGGGCCAGACCTGGCTTTCAGCAGGTGGCCGGGAGGGCCTTTGGGGGAAGCTGGGTGAGAGGCCGGAGGGGCAGGCAGGGGCGCAGAGGTGAGAGCTGTGGGTGCTGTCTGCTCCAGGGGAGAGGGAAGGAGAGACACTGGCACGGGCACGGGTGGCGGGGATGACACCCTAGGGGGCAGGGTTGCCAGATGAGCGCAAATAAAAATACAAGACACCCAGTTTAATTTGAATTTCAGATGAACAAGTATTTTTTGGATATAAGTATACCCCATGTAATATGTGAAACATCCATTCATTTTTAAAGTATTTGTTGTTCATCTGAAATTAGAATTGAACTGGGCATTCTATGGCCTGGATTCAATCCACGCTGTGCCACTCACTGTGTGAGCTTGGGCAAGTTACTTCACCTCTCTGTGCTCAGACCTCCCTTCTGTAAAATGAGGATAATAGCACAAACAGAATGGTTGTGAGGATTAAATGAGTTTACACGTATGAAGCGCCTCTATCAGGACCCTGGTGCGCCTGGGCACTTTACAAAGGTTGCTGCTGTTGCGCAACCCTCCCCCGAACACCTCTGCACACCCCGCCAGTCTGGGGCGTCCCCAGGTCCCTGCACCCTGACATGAGCTGTCCCCCCAGTGTGCTCCAGCTGAAGGCTGGGGCGTGTCCCTCTGATCAGGCAGGCTCCCTGCCCACCCTCAGCGCGGCCCAAGGCGAGGAGCAGACTCTGGGTGCGGCGCGGGTCCGGGCAGAGGGGCCGCGGCGGCACGGGGCAGCCTGAGGCCGGGCTGCATTTGCACCCCGGGAAGCAAGGGTGCGGGTGATGCTGCGGCGCCCGCACTCCGCTCAGCCGAGGCAGGCGGGAAACCTCGCCCGGAGTGCACCAGGCTCCCGGTGTCGGCGTCGCACCCAGCGGCGAGGCCTGTGGCCGTGGCTCCGCAGCCGCGTGTGCAGAGCCTGCGACACGTCCCCGCCGCCGGGTGGCCGCCGGCCTTGCTGCGCCCGCGGCCTGCACGAGGCCGGCTTCCCGGGCCCTCGCTGGACAGCCGGCCCAGCGGAGCGGCGGGCCGCCCCAACTGGAAGTCTCGCAGCGAGGTCCCGAGCGCCCGCATCACCTGGGCTCCTGTCAGAAGCCGGTTCTCAGGCTCCGCCTGGTCCAGCCGAGCCTGGGGCGGAGGGCGGGAGGGAGCCCCCCGTGTTTAACCAGCCTCCGGGTGCTGCTGGCTGATTAGTGCTTGCGGGTGGGAGAACTGCCGTCCCAAATCACTTCACCTCCACAACTCTGCAAGTGAAAGTATCTTATTATCCCCATTTTACAGATGGAAAAATGAGGGTCAGACAGGTGAAGAAACTGCCCCATGGCCACCCAGCTGGTAGGAGGTGGAGCCAGGTGAGACCTGGTCAAGGCCAGGCCTCTGCTGCTTAACAGGAAGGAGGGGGTGGCTGCGTGGTGACACCCCTCCCTTGGCAGGCGGGGACTCTGACTCCTCACCAGCGAATATACCTGCAATCCCTCTGCTTCCCGGCACTCTCGCCTCTTGGCGTGGTCCCCCATCGTGGTTGGGGCCCCTCCGGGTTCAGTGTGGCCCCCTCGCCCCCCTCCCAGCCCTCACACACACCAGACCCCTCCCCGGAGCTGGGTCTCTCAGCCCACAGGTGCCTCCAGCGCTGGACGCGGCCGGCCCACACACCCGCTCCCCCGCAGGGCTCCCTCTCCGCAGAGACGCCACTGCCCACCAGTTGTGGGTGCCACAAACCCGGAGTCAGCCTGGGCTCTGTCCCTCCCTCTCCATGCCACCACCTTCTCTTCGCTCTCCTCGGTCTCAGGTCAGCCTCTCACCCGCCGCCACCCACCCTCTGCCCCAGCCCCTCCCTCACTTCCCACCTGTCAGCCCCTCGCCCCGTTCCCTCCACCTGCCATGCCAGGCTCCTTCTTCCAGGGCCTTCACACCTGCTAATCCCCATTAGGGCATCTTGGCCTGGCACCCTTTCTGCCCCCTCTGAGCACTTGTCACTGATGTCGCCGTGGCAGACCCATGGGATGTCTGTCACACCGCTGAACTGTGAGCTTGTGAGGACGGGGGCCATGCCTGGTTCTCCGCCCTTTTGTCCCCAGCCTCATAGCCCAGAGTGACAAACTCGACACTCCATAAATACTGAGGCTTTCTCAACGCCCAGCCCACCTGTGTGCCACCCTCCTTGGCCTGTGGGCTCGGGCCCAGGGCAGCGGTAAGGAATCAGCCTCTGGGAGCCTCTGGCCCTTTCCGCAGCCCCTGCCTGGAGGCTGGAGCCTGCCTCAACCCACGCACTGCCCGGTGGACATCCGGCCTCTGCCCCCAACCCTGGGACAGTCTCGACGGTGGCAGTGTGTGTTCGCCTTGAACTGTCCCCACAAACCTGGCTTGGTCTTGGGGGCTGCACAGATGCTGGTGCTGGCTCTGCCGGGACAGCGGGCAGGACCTCGGCTCCGCTCTGCGCTGCAGGCCTCGCTGCCCCGGCGCCCCGTTCCGGGCGGCACCTGCAGGCCGACACCGCGGCTCACACGCGGGGCACTCGCTCGCCTTGGCCCCACACTTGCAGGGAGGCAGCTCGGTGCGTGAGGGCGAGGCAGCCGCTGTGGGTGGGCGGAGACACTCTGGAGGCGAATGGCCTCGCACTGGTCTCAGGGAGGATCTGGGACCACTGGAAGTCTCTCTGCCCGTGAGGCCCAGCGACGATGGTTTCTCTTAGCTTTTCTGTCACGCCCACTCCCTCCGCCTGGCTGTGCAGGGAAACCGCCAGGATCTCCTGTCTCCATCGCATGTCGAGGATGGGGTCTCCATGCAGGCCTTTGCCTCCTGCTATATGTCACCGGTGCCCTCGCCTGTCACTTATCCTATTGCCCTTTTTGAGGGGACTTTCAGGAAGCTCAGCCTGAGTTCTGTGCTCGAACACAGCCCAGGCTTCCAGTGTAAATGTCTCCTCCTTAGACTCCCTCCCCCCGCTGCCTCGGGCCCCTGCTTCGGCATCCCTGTCCCCTGCTCGCCTGCCTGCCAGGAGGCTTGTGCCTGCCAGGAGGCTTGTGCCTCCCAGCTGACGGGAGTGGGCCTCTCACCACCAGGCTGGGCCCACGTGAACTGGTGTCAGGGGACACCTGGCAGGAGCAGGGCCGTGTCCCTCCCACAGACATCCTCAAGGACGTCTTTGTCTTCTCTGAGCTCAGAGGAAGGGAGATGATGAGACAGAATCTCCTCTGACAGGGAGACCACAGCAGCGTAGGTCTGTGACAAGTGGGGGTGTGGCAGGGACGAGAGGATTCAAACCTGCGCCCCTCGGGGGCTGTCCTTGCTCACCGCTAGTAACTGCAGACAGGCTCACGAGGGGCTGGCCCGCCCTGCCGCCTCCACTCCTCTGTTTCCTGAACCCCTGGGGTGCAGCGTCCCCCTGCCGGGTGGGAGCGGTGCGGGGGAGGCGGCGACAGCCTGCTGTGCGGCAGTGTTCTGGGCAGACCTTGAGGGCGGTCGGATTGGGCGGCAGGGAGAGAGCCAGGGCCCGGAGGCCGGAAGGAGTGCCAGGGGCTCTCCGCAGCCTGGCTGTGTGATGTCAGCTCCCTGCCAGTGCCGACCCGTCTTTCGAATGGCTTGAAAGAGCCGTGGGGGTCCCTGGAGTTTGGGGACCAGACCTCATTTGCGCATCCTCCGCGGCCCCTGCCCGGCAGAGGCTTGCTGAGTTACGTGTGGAGCAGGTGTGTGCCACAAACCACTTTGGGGCGAGAGTGACCTCCCTTTAATCCATGTGGCCTGAGCCTCCAGGCCTGAGCAAGGCTCCTGGCTGGGTTGAGGTCAGGGGATGACAGAAATGTGGCATCTTTAGGCAGCAGAGTCTGACCAGCTCCGCCCTCTCGGTGCTCGCTGGCTATTTATGGGGTCACTTAAGCCCCACCGCCCGCCTTTCCACCCCAGCCTAACGCCCACCCTGCAAGGGCCTGAGAACGAGCATCCCATGGACCTGAGGCAGCCGTGGGCCACAGGGAGGCCGGGGGCTTTCCCCACCCAGAGGGGGGCCACCAGCTCCCCACGCTAAACAGCAAGGCCACCTTTCCCAAGGGCCAACACACACTCCCTGCCAGCCTCTAAGATGAAGAGACGACGCAGGTGCCATGACCACCTCTTGTGCTTCCTGCAAAGAGCCCACCAGGTTGGTGTGGGAGGGGTGACCTGGTCTAAGCCAAGACTCTGACAGCGAGGCAAGACGGGAAGTCTGGGAGGGCTTCCTGGAGGAGGTGGGGCATGAGAGCCCTGAAGAGAGGCTCTGATGCAAAGGACTAAGGAGGAGAATGAAGTCACCCTCAGTGTGCTAGACTCTGGCTCCAGGGTGGTGGGGCCCTTCATTATACTTTATTTTAATTCTTAAATCCGCCCAACTCGGTCTAGGGCATGGCACACAGTAGGTGTTCAGTAAATGCTTGCTGGCTCAGTGAGTGGACGATGGGTGCTTGGCCCCCAGTTAAAGAAAGGAACAACCAAATGGCCTTGCCACGTCTGCAGCTGGGTCAACAGCAACACTTATTATGCACCCACTGTGTGCAGTAGACTGAGGTGGCAGCTACATGGGACGCGGCCCTAAAGAGGCAGCAGGGGAGCCGGGATGGGTTCAACTCCTGCCCCGGCACTCACTGGCTCTGAACACGCCCTGCGCTTGCCCTCCTCTGCCCACGCCGGTCCCCTGGCAGGAACACCCGCCCCTCCTCGGCGCGCCCCTGCCCAGCGCACCGCAGCCGCTCTGCCCTGCTCCTCCGGTGCCCAGCCTGTGGGTGAGCTCCCGCCAGTGCTGGCTTCTCCCCGCCCCACCCCTACCTCCTACCCCCGGGAATCTTTGTGGCTGGGCTGCCGGCCCCACGGACCTTGTTTCTGTATTTCCTGTTGTGGTTTCGAGGGCCTCGCACGCCCTGCCCGGGCTCCGGCTCCTCCTCTGACACCGACTCTGCTCCCGGCCCCCAGCCTGAGGCTCTGCCTGTGGGTCAAGCCCCCCACTCCAGGGACTCCCAGCCTCCGTCTCCCTGTGCGGTGTCCCCAAGGGCCCGTGGCTTTGGGCCAGGGAGGGCTGGTCCCAGGGGAAATGGCCTAGGCTGCCCGGCCAGGCCCTCAGCCCGCAGCCAGCCAGGCGCCTCCCGTGTGTCTGATGCCCGACGACCCCGCTGCTTGCTGAGCACCCCGTCGCTGCCCAGAGCACCCCTCGGGACGACATCCCCTTTCACAGGCAGGGACCCAGGACTTGGAGGGGGAGGACCCCAGGGTCCCGCGGCAAGCCAGTCAGGCCTCCACAGCCTCCACCTGGCCACTTCCTGTTTCTAAACATGGAGCCAGATGCGGCGTCCCTTCCCCGTCCCGCAGCCCACCCCGCTCTGCACCCGCGCCACGCTTTTTGTTAGTGGCTTCTCCTTCCCTGCTGTCAGTCCCCTGTGACTCACAGCCCCCGCCTGTGCCTCATCCTCGTGCCCTGCCTGCACCCCCTCAAGCTGCCCCGTCTTTCTGGACAGCTCTCCTTTTCCAGCAGGCCTGGAGGCCGGAGGTAGGCAGGGCTCCTCCGGGGCCATGTCCCCCGCCCCACACGGCCCACACCTCCCCTGCCCACGCATCGCCCCGCAGTGCCACTGGACAGCCCCAGCCCCGTCCGTCCCTTCCTTACCGCGTCCTGAGCCCCGCTCTGTGCCCAGCCTGCATCCAGCCCTCAGCCCTGCCCGCGGGAGGCCCTCAGACCAAGTTCTTGTTTATCTGCACAACAGCCCACTGGAGTGGGCAGATGAGAAACACACTCAGAGAGGTGAAGCAACTTGCCCACAGTCACACAGCGCACAAAGGTGGAGCCAGGACCAGAGCTCACGCATCCTCACTCCTCAGGCTGTGTGCACACTTTTTGGTCTAACACAGGCACCCTTTGGGCATTGGGCATTAATCTCCCCTGGCTGACACCACTTTTAAGCCTTCTGCTAGCCCTTCCTGTGGTTGGTTGGCTGGCTGGTTTGTTTGGGCTCCTGGTCAGAAGCAGGCTCTGCCAGGGAGCCCCAAGTCTTAGGAGCCCTGGAGAGTTGCATGCTCACGTCCTCTCTCGGGGCAGAGCCAGGGGCGCCCCAGGCCTGGCCTCCAGGGGACCAGGTGGAGGGAGGGGCTGCTACAGCAGCGCAGGGGCAGGCTCAGGCCCCAGGATCGGAGGGGGACTCCCAGAGCCCTGTCAGAGCTTGGAGTCCAGTGTCCCATCTGACCCTCGGTCTGGCTCTGTCCTCACCCGGGGCGAGTTTGCGCCTCCCTGAAGCAGCCTCGCCACTCCAGTGCTACAAAGCTCTTCAGCTGCCCTGAAACGTCTCCCTCGCCCTTCTTCCCCACCCGGCAGTCTGCACCAAGACCTCCAGGGAGGGAGACCCCCAGCTGCGTCATCGCAGCAATTTCCTGTTGCGTCCTCTCTGAGCCAGGCCTGCGCTAAGTCCCTGAGCCCACTTAAGCCTCCGAGGAAGGTGGCATTGTCCCATCGCTGACGAGGGAATGAGGCACATTGCGTGCCCGTGGCCAGCCCGAGTCACGGCTGGCGGGTGAGGAGCTGGTACCGGAACCCAGGTGCGGCCCCGCCTGGCCCCGTGTCTGGCCACGCCTCCACCCTGGAAGCCCAGGCTGAGCCGGTGATGCGGGGGGCGTGGGCAGCCAGCGGGGGGGCCTGTCACCTGCCCCTCAGGACTTGGGTGAGGCCGCCCAGATGGGCGCAGGCTCTGCTGTCCCCCTGCTCAGACCCTTGGCTCTTCTCCCCCCCACAGAGCCCAGCCCCACCCGATGGCCCAGTAACTGAGCACCAGGGGGTCCCAACACCCCAACCGTGTGGGCATGCAGCCCCTCCCTGGCCCTGCCCAGTCCACCCAACGCCAGGAAGCCCTAAGCCTGTCTAAGGCCCGGAGAGGAGGGCGCCAAGCTCAGGGCCTGCAAGCTCTTACTTGATCTCCGTGTGGCCGCCCGCCTTCCGCGCGATCTGCACCAGCTCCTTCCCATACCGCTCCTCCGCCTGGGCCCTGCAAGAAGCACAGAGGTGGGCCCGGGTCCCCTGCAGGTCTGCAGCAGAACCGGAGATCCCCCGTGAGCCTCTGGGGGCAGGCATGGCTCCTTGAAAGCGCTAAGCCCAGCCCTTCCTGGAAGTAAGTGTCGGCCAAATACGGGCACTTTCGAAAGGCCATCGAGTGATTTGCCCCCTTGGGAGGTCCAGGTCTGGAGAACCAGGGGAGTTGTACCCCGGACTTTTTGAAGCAGGGGGTGCTCCGACAGCAGCTTGTCTGGGATGGGCCCGTGCGGCCACTCCCTGAGGAGCCGAGTGGAGGCGGCCGCCCCCCGCCTGTGTCCCCACGGCCGCCGGCTCACCTCTGCCTCAGCAGCTCCTCCACGTCCTTGCACATCTTCCTGCCGTCCAGCAGCCGCTGCAGCAGCACCTCGTAGCCCGTGTGGGCCGTGAAGTCCCTGCACTGTGACACAGGACAGAGGGACGCATGAGGGCCACGGCCCGGCGGGGACCCCCCAGCCCCTCCAGGAGAGGCCTCTCTCCTGCCTCCGTCTCCCCGCCTCAAGGCCAAGCTCTTGGGATGCCAGCCCGGGCCTCAAACAGGGGTCCCCCCGCAACCGCGCGTGTGACAGGCGCATAAGTGAACGGAAGAGGATTCTGGGTGTGCGTCTGAGGCGCTGGTGCGGGAAGTTGGCGGGCGCGGGGGCGGGGAGGTAGTATTCAAGGACTAAGAGGGGCAGAGGTCTCCCGGGACACCCCCAGGCCCAGAGAGCAGGTCCCAGGCCAGGCCGCCACTCCCGGCCCTCCGGGGGCACGCGGGCTCCCTCCAGGGGAAGGCAGAGCTTGTCAGGCCACCGCAGCCCGCGGCCGGCCCTGGGATCTGGCATCTGGTCTGTCTTCTTTTCTGTCCCCAGAGACCCCCTGAAAGCCTCAGAGGCTGGGGAAAGGAGCCCAGCTCCCCTGACCATGCACGTCACACCCCAGCTCCCCGAGCTCAGAGAGGCGGTGGGGCTCTCCAAGCTCACACGCACTTAGCCTGTCCCCCAGGTAGGGCCTGTGTTCCTGCCCCTGCCCCACGCCTCCCCTCGCATGCCACCTATGGGTGTGTGGGGAGCAGAGGTGGAGCCACAATCAAGGAGAGCTTCCTGCGGGAAGAGGCATTGAGCCAGGTTCTAGAAAGAGACGTTGTTGTTCTTCACGGTCTGAGGAGAATCAGACATGGTGGGGAGAGATGACATAGACTGTCCCGACTGGCCGCGTGCTCCAGCCCACCTGGGCAGACTCAGGACTGTCCTGCAGCACACTCCGGGCCCAGGCCCATGCCCGGCGCCATAAGCACCCCTGGAAATTCCTCAGAAGGACGTAGCCCAGGCTCAGCTGCCCACAGGGTGACAAGCAGAGTGTCTGGGCCCTGGCTGGCCAACCAGGGCCCCAGCAGGAGGCAGTTGTCCCCCAAACACCTACAAGCCTGTCCTGGAGCTGACATCCACCTCCATGTCCAGGCTGGTGTCACCGGGCCAGGCTGGGCCAGACTTCCATTTCTGTGTCTTTCGTGGGCAGCCACTTGTCCATTCACCAGCCGGCAGACCACAGCTTCCTGCCCCTCATCCTCTGCCTTCCCCCCGGAACCCCATGTCAGAGCCTTGATGGCCGGGAAGAAAAACAAATCCGGAGCCTCGGCCTCCCTCCCCTCCCCATGAGGGTCATTCTGAGCTGGACGCCATGTTCAGGTCAAAATGTCACTGACCCCAGAACCGGAACCAGTGCCCCTCCCTCCTCGGGAAACTGGCCCAGAGAAGGGAAGGGCTTGTCCGAGGCCACAGAGCCAGGGCAAGAGTCTGGACTCTCCGGGGAACTGTCCCTCCACAGTGCCACTGAGAGAGGCTGCAGGACGCGGAGCAGGCAGACGCCAACTGCAGCCCAGCCCCACCCACCCTGACTTGCAGGGGAACCTTCTGTCCTACCAAGGCCCCCGGAGTGGAAAGAGAAGTAAAACCAAACCTACGTTGGCCATTCTGGAGGAGGCGGGAAGCAGCAAGGGGCCCTGCAGGCCAGGTCCCCAGGAGCTTAAGTCCCCAAAGTGCCGCGGGCTCAAGAATCCTGTCCAGCCCCTGCTCAGAGCCACAGAGGTGCCAGCAGGGGTGTGGCCGGCCGGATGAGCCACAGTCACAAGGACCGGGCTGTTCCGAGAAGTGCCCGACTCTCCAGGGCTGCTCGCGACGCCTCCAGCCCTGCACCCCTTCCCGAGCCTGTGTCTCGTCCACCCGCCGCCGCTGCCTCAAGGGCATCAGTCCCGACGCGCGGCTCAGAGCCAGGGGAGCTGGGCTCAGGACGCTGTTGGGAATGAACGAACCCATCGTCCTGTCGATCAGCCAGCGTGCAGGTCCACCCAGCACCAGGGGCCACCATAGCCTCCTGCCGCCTCCCCCCTCATATCCTCCTGTCGCCTGAGCCCGCCATGGGCTCGGCCTCTGTGAACCTCCATTTGCGGAGCCCACCTGCTCACGCTGCGCCAGGAACATCACAGCCGTCACCTTCCCGAGCACAGCGCAGACCGGGGTGGAGATGGCAGCGGGGAAGCCTAGAGGGAAGTGACCGCCCAAGTCCACTCGGCTGGTAAAGGGCAGAATTTGGGATCTGGGCCCAGGTTGGCCTGTCCCCAAAGCCATATACCCACACCAGTCACACAGCACTCAGCCCAGTAACCATCTTCCATTTCGAAATATCAAAAAATGATTTAAAAAAAACCTTCAAAGTGTTGACTCAAATTTTTTCCACCTCAAATCAAAGCTGTGTTTTGGGCTTTAATTCGGTTACCGTAGATTCCCAGAGGCCAGCCACGTGCCCAGGCTGGGTCAGAGAAGTGCCAGAGGCCACGGCCCAGCCATGTAGCACCTGGGACAACCCACCCTGCACTAGGGGTGCCAGGTGGCAAGCAGGCACAGTCCCTCACTCCCGGAGGCCCACTCAAGCCAGACGTGGGACCCACCCTTGTCATCCGTGGTGTGCGGCCGCTCTGGGCTCCAGGCCACCTCCCAGGGCTCCAGGAGGAGGTGCTCCGGAAGGCCGAGGACAGGAGGAAGTATGCTCCTGCCAGCCTCAAAGCAGTGCAGCGAAGGTCTGCATACCCTGTCCTGGCCAGGGACAGCCCCCAGCTTCCTCCCTCTGGGTGGGTCTGGGCATGAGCCCTGCTCCAGGCCCACGAGCTGGCCCGGGCCCACCATGCCCCCATTGGTGGGTGGAGAAGCAGCCTCTATCCCTACCGCGACTTCCTCCTTTCCTGCCCAGATCACTCTCGGTGGCTGCAGGGGCCAGGCCACAGAGACCAGGGCCTGAAGCAAGCCACTTTCCTTCCTGGGACCTGGTTCCTCATTGAGGAGGTGGGGGCGGGAGGTCCTTCCGGGGCATGGCCCCAACAGGGCAGGCTGTGGCCAGAGGGCGTTCTGGCCTGAGATGAGGGAAGGAATTTGACAGACTTGATGTGGGTTCAGACCTGCCCTGACCCCGGCCCTTCTCAGCCTCTGTTTCCTTCCCTGTGAAAATGGGCCTAATAGTTCTTGCCACACGGAGCCGATCTGAGAAGCAGTGAACTAGCGCGCACAGGTGAAAACAGTGAACACAAGATGGCCCGATGTCCCAGGCCCAAATCTCGGCTCTTAACCTCCCGTTGCTTCACCTCTCTGCAAAGCCCCAAGCTCAGGGCCTGTCACCCGGTGGCAGTTCAAGTGGTAGCTCCCCGTGCCCTGCCCCCTCCCTGCCCGCCACCGCCCCCACGTGGCCAGCTGGGAAGCATGAGCCATCATTCCCCTCGAGAAGGTCCACTTAAAAGGTAGCAGAACCTTTTTCAAATGCTCCCTTACATGGAGCTCCAGGATATAAAGTGCATCAGGGGACAGCTAAGCCTCTAACCTCAGGGAGAGAGGCCTGGGTTTTGGTCCCAGTTCCCATCTGCCGTGTCTAAGAACTGGTGCTGCAGGTTTACCTGGGAACCAAGTAGGGGCTGTGGCAGGTAGCCAGGTAGCCAAGGAGAGCTGCCGTGTAACTCCCTGTCCATGAGAACGGCCCAGCAAGGCAAGAGGAGCCCCAAAGAGAAACTGTGCGGGGTCTGTTGGGTGCAACTGGGAGGGCCAGAAGCAGCTGCCTGTAAGAGATGGAACAGCCGGGTACTCCAGGGGGACAGGGTGGCCAAGGAATCTGCCCAGGTGCCCAGCAGAGAAAGATGTGACCCATGCACACCTGCCCCCCCCAGGGGCACCGTCACCAGTGACAACACCAAGAAAGTGAGACCTTTCTCCCCTTTAGAGCCGCTGCCCCGCAGCCCACCCCATCCACGGAGACCCCAGAAGCAGCTGGCAGTGGGGGATGGGTACGACACTGCGAGGGAAGAAACTAGCTCTCTTCTCTTTCCCCATCAGAAGCCTCCCATGCAGAGCTGCGCGGGGACGGGCGGGGAGCTTTGATTGAATGATAGCGAAATTTTGACATTAGGGTGGACTGGATTGGGTTACAGCTAAGGACGACTGGAAAAGCTCTAGCCTGAGCCCAGGGTCGGGGAGCGAGATCCAGCAGAGGGTTTGGAAGGTAGAAGAAAGAAAAATTAGGTCTCTGCTTGCACCCTACCAAGTTCAAATTCCATTTTGTAAAAGGCTTGCCACCATGCTTGAAAATCTTTCTAATGATGTCTGACATGCTCTTGGGTTGATAGACTCTTCACTTTTTTTAACCATTGTTCTTTCTTTTTTCTTTTTTTTTTTTTTTTTGAGACAGGGTCTCACTCTGTCACCCAGGCTGGAGTGCAGTGGTGTCATCATAGCTCCCTGCAGCCTCTAACTCCTGGGCTCAAGTGACCCTCCCACCTCAGTCTCCCAAAGTGCTGGGACTACAGGCGTGAGCCACCGCACTTGGCCTTTAACGTTTTTCAGGAGTCATCTTTTATTGGTGGGTGAAGAGATGGAATAGGGAAACTCGGCTCGCTTCCCTAATTTCAGAAGCCCCGGAGCCCTGCCAGCTCTTTCGGACAACCGTCTTGGAGCAGCAGGGCGCTGGGCCTGCCCGCGCCCTCCCCTCCCTTAGGCCAGCTTATGCGGGGACTTCTGCAGCCGGCGTGGCTGCCACCGTGAGTTTACTAGCAACTAGTGTCCTGCTGCTTGTCTCTGTGGGCTGAGAAACCAAACCACAAGCACTGTTAGGAAACCCCTCAGGAAAGCAAGTCCCATGAGGGCAGAATGTGGCTGTGACTGGTTCTCTGCCGGGCCCCAGCACCCAGGGCCTGCGCAGCGCTGCCCGCAGACACGCGGGGTGAAGGGCTGGAGAAGCTCCGCAGTGTGGCCCTCGAGAGCAGGTGGCTGTGTGACCACTGGTTCCTGAGTGGCCCCTGGAGGGACCAGACCACTGGCCTGCAGATCAGTAGCTCTTCACCCGGCACCTTGCCATAAGCCCGGCAGACTTGTCCCTGTGCGGCTT